AAGGATTGCATGGAGGGGATTGTAACCATGGCAATGAGACAATATACGATAGAATGAATGTAAAACTAATCTTCTCCCATGTAAACTATCACATAATTCACAATTGTTGTTGTTATTATGTGCCGTTGAGTCGGTTCCGACCCATAGCGACCCTGTACAGGGTTTCCAAGGCTGTAAATCTTTACGGGAGCAGAAAGCCTCATCTTTCTCCTGCTGAACAGCTGGTAGTTTCGAACTGCTGACCTTATGATTCACAGCCTGATTTGTAACCACTACGCTACCAGATTTTTAAGTGCCGTCAAATCGGTTCCAACTCACAGCTACCCTGTATAGGGTTTCCGAGGAGCGGTTAGTGAGTTTGAACCGCTGACCTTGTGGTTACACTACAGCACCACATTAGGGCCCCCCTCTAGTCTACTCTAGTCCAATCTTGTGTTTTATCAGAGTGTTCTCACACTTGCTTATCCATTGTTTGGCTTGTGTGTCATGAACGTGAGTGAGTTCAGAGTGGGCAGGGCCTTCCTGGTGCCCAAAAGACATAGCATCCAAGCTGAGGATGCAACTTGAAATTTACTACTGACCATATTGTTAAAAATGAAAAAGAAACAACCGAGATGAAATTAAATTTCCTAATAGTATAAAAATATTATCATTTTAATCCAGAATAAATATACAAATGATTGCTGGTGCTGGTGGTTCCGACTCATAGAAACCCTGTACAGGGTTCCCAAGGCTGTAAGTCTTTACAGTAGCAGAAAGCCTCATCTATCTCCTGCAGAGCACCTGGTGGACTTGAACTGCTGACCTTAGCAGCCCAAGGAACAGCTCACGCCATCACCAGTGCCCCTATAAACGTCATTAGTGAGAGATTTTATACTCTCGCCATGCTAGGTCTCGGAAACTTGGTGTGTATTTTGCACTCACCAAACCCAAAACCAAACCCACTGTCGTGAAGTTGATTCCAACTTATAGTGACCCTACTGTTATTGTTAATAAGTGTCCTGTAGTTCGTTCTGACCCATAGCCACCCTGTGTAGGGTTTCTGAGGAGTGGCTCATGGGTTTGAACCACTGTCCAGCACATTATCCTGCAGCGGAACACCAGGACTCCATAGTGACCCTATGGTGATGGTGGTGGTGGTGTGCCATGGAGTCAGTTCCAAATCATAGCGACCCTGTATGGGGTTTCCAAGGAGCAGCTGGTGAGCTTGAACCGACCTTGCAGTTCAAATGACTTTGCAGTCTGATGCATTAGCCCACAGCACCACACCAGGGCTCCATTCCAACTCACAGCAACACTGTATATGGTTTCTGAGGAGCGGCTGGTGAGCTTGAACCGCCAAGCTTTCAGTTTCAAACTGACTTTGCAGTCTAGTGCATTAACCCATAGCGCCACACCAGGACTCCCGTGACCCTGTATAGCGTTTTTCCAATATATATGAGGGGAATTTTAAAAGTTCATGGAAAACAGAAGAAAAAGCTAATGGACTTTTTAAAGCCTTCTCCAACCCCAGCTGGCTGGTCACCTGTCCCCAGCTGTGGCCCTACCTGGCAATATTCTCTCGCTTGGAGCTCTTAGTTACAAAGAACGCTGCTGCTTTTAATCTCTCAGTGTCATTGTGGTGTGTCCCACTATCGAAGGATCTATAATCCTACCTAACATCAAATGGTTATGGAACACCAGACCTACATGATCTGGCCTGGCTCCCTGACCCCCACTCTTCCTCTTTCTCATCAGCTCCAGCCAACGCCTTTGACCTGTCGCCCTGCTTTTGACCTGCTCCTTCCTCTACCGTAAAAGCTCTTTCATAGGATCCCACAGTGACTTTCTCCCTCAGATCTTTGCTCAGTCACCTCAGGGAGGCCATCTTAGGCCACCCTCTTTAACCTCCTGCCCACTTCCAGAACTTTCTCTGTGCAGAAGAGGTAACATGATAGGCCTGAGATGGCTCTCCTTTGGTTGGCATCTGAATTGTGGATTTTGCAGGGGGGAGGGGTGCTTTTAGCATTCCTTGGTAAGAGTGCTGTACCTGTTTGTGTGACTATGGTCTATGCTGAACGCTTGCTTTCCTCCTGAGAGTCTGGAACGTCTCTATGAGGTAGGCACAGAGCCTATGTGGTCACCCCTGAGTCCACTCCTGCAGGTGGCTGATATGTGCTGTGGAGTCAGTTCTGACTCATAGTGACCCTGTATAGGGATTCCAAGGAGCAACTGGTAGGTTTGAACAACCTTATGGTTAGCAGTCCAGTGTTTATCCTACAGCACCACATCAGGATTCCAATGAGCTCCCTGGTAGACTGCAGTTCTTGTGTGACTCCAGGGAGAAGATTCTGGAAGCTCGTGCCTGGTCTCTGGACTTTGCTCCATGTACCTTTCCTCTCTGGTGACTGTACTACATCCTATCACCGTGAAACATCATGTGAGGAGTCTTCCCAGTGACTCACTGAAACTGGGGGTGGTCACAGGGCCCCCGGCACTCTCATTCCTGATGTGTTTTTTCCTCCTTAGCACGTCTCACCATCTGACACCCTACATTTACTTCTGCATCTTACTCTTGTCTTCCCCCACACTCTAAGCCCTGTCTGTCTCCAACTTACCCTGTGGAGACCCACAGAAGACATTGGGAGGGCATTTGCTGAATGACGCCTGTTAACAGCTTTATTTCCAAAACTGGATTCCTCCCTGGGTTTGGGGTTTGTGATGAGGAAAGGGCCATGTGGGATGGGATTAAACTGGGGTGGGGTGACTGGTCTTCGAGGATGCCTCACACAGGCTCCATCTGCAGTTCCTCCCCGTCCACGGCCTCGATGTGATGGAGAGCAGCATGCGAGCCAATGACCACGAGGGTGGCTCCTGCAGGAAAAGGGCAGCTCAGGGCCTGGCTTCCTCACCTGGCTCGCCTCAATCACTGTGTCACCCAGACCCTGGACTCACCCAGCACCCAGAAGACCGCTGAGCCTGCCCCAGCCAGCCAGAAAAAAGGGAAAGAGACGCCTCCAGCCACAGCGTACTGATGGGCTCGGCTCACCTCTCGGCCTGGGAGACAGATGGCATTGGTCAGCTGTTCCAACCCACCATGCCCTCTCCCCCAAAACCCTCTGCCACCCCTCATGTGGACTCAGAAGTTCCAGGAGCCTCGAGATCTCTTCCAAATTACCCAAGCCAAGGCCCTCTGAGTCCCAACCTCTTTGTCCCACGTCCCCAGTTTTCTAGAACACAGCACATTTTACTCAGACCCTGGTCCTCTAACCCTACTACCTCTAGAAAGCTCTCAACCCTCCTGTCCCCCAGATGAGGGCTCTCCTGGACTCATGTAGATGAGGGGGCTCTAAGTGGTGGCCGATGGACCAAGTCTGACCTGCAAGTCTGTTTTTGTTTTCGACTCTATGCATCATTTCACAAGAATTTGATTAGTGGCTGGCAGATCATCCGAATGATTTCCCACAATGGTTTCCACAGGTTCCGGCCACTCATGGAACACTGGAGGGTTGGGTCACACTGGCCCCACTGTGGTGACACCAATCAGCTGAAGCCAGATTATGCCTGTGTTTGAGATGGCCTTGGGGGAGTTTCCCAGCATGCTCTTCCCCCAGCCCACCTTTGTGGAAAAATGGAATGAGAAGAGAGTGGAATGTTCTCACAGACTTTTCTCAAATGTGACTTGCTGACTCCCGAAAGACTTTCCCTTAGAGTTTTGTCTTAGATCTTCCTGGTTTCTGATCCTGTCCCCACTCTAAACCTCAAGCTTCTCCTGGGGACCCAGGCCTCTTCTCACTCCACTCCATCATTCCAATGGTGCCTGGTACCAAGTTGGCATCACATGAAGTACCCTACATAAGCCACAGGCCTCAGCTTCCCTCTCTGAGAAGTCTCAACTTCCAGCTTCCACCCTGTTGCCATTAAATCAGTTTGGACTCAAGCGACCCTGTATAGGGTTTCCGAGGGGTGGCTGGTGGTTTGAACTGCCAACTTTGTGGCAAGCAGTCCTGTGCTTATTCTACAGTGCCACACCAGGACTCCAACTTCCGTTTTGTTGTTGCTGTAAAGTGCCAATAAGTGGGTTCTGACACAGTGACCTTGTATAGAGTTACTAAGGAGCAGCTGGTGGGTTTGAACTGCCATTCTTGGGGGTTAGCCATCCAGTGCTTTATTCCACAACACCACACCAGGACTCAGAAAAGGAAGCCCAGATCTAGGGCAGTGTAAGGCTGCCATCTGGTGTCCAATGTTGGTACCTGCAGCTGATACTTTCCCAAGACAGATTTAGGGAGGAAGCTGTGGGGAGGAGGAAGAGTGCTGGTGTAGCACTGGATCACAAAGTCGATGGTTCAAACTCACCAGTCGCTGGCACTTAACAACACCAAAACAACAACAATGTGCGGAGGGGAGTGGCTTGGCATGAAGAAGATTTAGGGGACAGGACGTATCAGGTGGAGATTGAGTACGGGCGTGTCTCATTTTTGTACTTTAAGTGGGGAGCTGAGGCTAGGTGGGAGTATCTAGTGAGTCTGGAATCTTAAGCGATCAGGGTGATCAGGTTTAGGTGCGGATCTAGGCTTGGGCAGTAGTCTCAGAAGGACTTGGCTTTGGGGGTTTGAGTCTGAAGTTCTAAGAGACAAGACTTGAGGGGTAGGGGATTTCTCACCAAACAGCACAAGCTTGGACTGCAACGTGCGCTGATAGAGGATGTAACAGGCACCAAAGAAGACGGCCAGAGCTACCAACAGCATGGGAGACGTCACCCTGGGGAGGAGTGCAAGGAGGCAGGATCAGGTGGCTGGGGCTGCATCCACCAAGGACTCTGAATCATCCACACTGGCAGACAGTAGAACGCGTTCTTGAGGATAGGTAAAGTTGGCTGATCTGGGTGATCTCTGGTCATGCTGTGTCCTGGCCATGCTGATAGGGGCGTAAAGGTCTTGCCTTTGGGAATACGGTTCAGCAGGGTTACTCCACAGGGGCGGGGCCCTGATGAAAAGGGGCGGAGCTGTCTGCGGAGGGCGGGATCTATTAAGTCCAGCCTTCAGGAGCCTACGACGCAAGGATGTTGGGGCGAGGGTGGGGTCCCCAGGGGCACTCACACGCAGTAGAGGATGAGGCCCAGGAACACGAACACATAGTTGCTCTGGTAGTGCTCCACATTGCGAACGAGCCTCTGGCACAGCTCGCCCAGATTGCGGGGCCGAGAGAAGCGCCGCTGATCCAAGAAGGGCCCCCAGGGTCGGATGGTCGCACGGCGCCGCTCCAGCCACTCCCGGCCCGCACCGGATGGGATAAGCTTCGGCAGCAGGGTCCTGGAGAGCAGGGCCGTGTCAGCGGTAGACAGAGTTGGCCTAGAGCCCGGAGGATGGAGGCTGAGGGTCCTAGGGGCGGAGGGGGCTTCGGGAAGGGGCCCAAACTTCGGTATCCCAGAGGAAGCCCAAATTCTAGAAAAGAAGGGGACCGGGGGCCTAGACTCCAGTGTCTGAGAGTCATGGGGCTGGGACCTGGACTCGAGAGAGGAGGGAGATGGGGACCCGCATTCCTGAATCCGGGATTAGGGGGGCTAGAGCTGGGAAGCTCACGTGGCACTCAGCCCTTCGGCCTCGGCATCCTTCTGTTGGTCCTTCTCAGCCGCCATATCTGCACGGTGATGGGTAGAACCGCTATAACGAGTCCCGGGCCCGGCCAAAGCCGTCCGCTCCTCCCGAGCCCGGCCTCACCCCGCGGAGCGGACGTGGCACCGCTCTGGAGGGGCGGGAGTTTTGTTGCTGAGCATTGTGGGAATTGTAGTTCTGGCGCTGTCTGGGAATGTGGTCCCCAAGATGGCGGGCTCGCTCGCAAAACACTTTGGGAAATGTAGTCCACATAGGTGCCGGGGCGGACTTTGTGCATTGTGGAAGTTGTAGTTTTAGAGGTGGAGCGTGTGGGCGTTGGGGTCGGAGACGTGGCCTCCTGGGAGCGAGGGCATCATGTGCGGCGCCGTAGGATAAGTATTGGGCTGCTAACCACAAGGTTGGCGGTTCAAACCAACCAGCAGCTCCTTGGGAACCCTATACATGGTCGCTATGTGTCAGAACCCACTCCACAACATTTAACAACAACAATGGCAGGAAAGAAGGGGTCAGTGGAAAAGAGGAAGACCCTCAACAAGATGAATTGACAGTGGCTGTGACAATGGATTCAAACATAGAAAAGATTGTGAGAATGGCGCAGGACCAGGCAGTGTTTCATTTTGTTGTCTTTAGGGTCACTATGAAGGAGCTCTGGTAGTGTAGTGGTTACAAATCGGGCTTGAGGTCAGCAGTTTGAAACTACCAGCTGTTCCATGGGAGAAAGATGAGGCTTTCTGCTCCCGTAAAGATTTACAGCCTCGGAAATCCTGTACAGGGCCGCTATGGGTTGGAACCGACTCCACGGCACATAACCGCCACCACGAATCAGAACCTCCTGAACAGGACCTAATAATAATGGCAGAAAACAGGTGCTGTGTTCTCCCCCGCGGTGAGGGCAATGTCACCTATAGAGTGGTCATTCTCAGGCTCAGATTCTTGTTTTTGAGTACCCTTGAGTCGGTTCTGACCCATAGCGACCCTGTATACGGTTTCTGAGGAGTGGCTGATGAGCTTGAACAACCGACCTTGGGTTCAAACCGACTTTACAGTCCAGTGCATTAACCCATAGCGCCACACTCAGACTCTATTGGACATTAAAAACACCTGGAGGACCTGATAGAAGACTGATTCTGGCGCCCTGATTGTAGATGTTCTAATTCAGTAGGTTAGTTGAGGTCCATTCATTTGCATTTCTAACAAGTTCCCAGGTGATGCTGAACCACATAATGAGTAGTAAGTGTGTAGAGAATTTGTGGGCATCTATTTTTTCTCCTTGAAGGGGAAATGGTTGCTGGAGTGGGTGTCTGGGTTTTGGACACACTCGCTCACTCCTTGGGCTCCCAGGGATGAAAGGGTGAGCATTAGCACACACACACACCCATGCACTTTGGATAGGAAGGAGGGAAAGCTGGGAAAATGAAAAGGTTGAGAATTTTTATTAAAGAGAAACTGGTATAATTGAAAGATCTAGGATGCTGGAGTCAAATCTGGATGCAAATCCAAACCATGTTGTTGTTGTTAGGTGCCATCGAGTCAGTACCGACCCATAGCATAGCAGAAGGAAACACTGCCTGATCCTGGGCCAACCTCACTATTGTTGCCACGCTTGAGCCCATTGATGCTGCCGCTTTGCCAATCCATCTCGCTGGGGGGTCTTCCTCTTTTTCTCTGACCCTCCACCTTACCAAACCTGATATCCTTCTCCAGCGACTGGTCCCACCTGACACTATGTCTGAAGTATGAGAGATGAAATCTGACCATCCTGGCTTCCAAGGAGCACTCTGGCTGCACTTCATCCAACACAGATCTGTTGGTTCTTTTGGCAGCCCATGGCACTTTCAATATTCTCCTCCAACACCATAACTCAAAAGCATCAATTATTCAGTGTAGCTTTGACTAAAGCAGTCACCTAAATGTTTATCTTCATTTGGTCACTGAAGATGTTCGGGATACCACACTCATGGGATTGCGATGATTCAGTGAAATGATCCATATAAAGTGCTTAACAGAGTCTTTTTTTGTTGTTGTTGTTGTTACCCCTGTTCTCACCAGTTCTTCTTGTGGTGGTGGTTATGTTCCGCACAGTCGGTTCCGGCCCATAGTGACCCTGTACAGGGTTTCCGAGACTGTAAATATTTACGGGAACAGAAAGCCTCATCTTTCTCCTGTGAAACAGCTGGTAGTTTCGAACTGTGGACCTTGAGGTTCACAGCCCAATTCGGAACCACTATGCTACCAGAGCTTCTTCCTTAAAGGAGTCTTGATACTTTAAAACTGCTCAATAACTTGGGGTGTTTCTGTCACTCAGTTGATTTCACGTCAGAGTGACCCCACGTGACAGAGTACAACTACCCCGTTGGGTTTTCTTGACTGCAATATTTTTGGAAGAGCAGCACCACGTCTTTCGCCCACAGAATTGCTGTTAGTTAGGGTTGAACTATCAGGTTTTTGATTAACAACTGAACTCTTCAATTAACAACTGAACTCTTCAATTAACAACTGAACTTTTCAATACATTGTAGTTGTTGTTATTTACATTACATTATTCTGAGTGTTTGGATCCTGGCATGTCACTGTAGGATAAGCTTTGTAGGACAAACCCACCAGTCACTTCCTGGAAACCACCTGCTCCTTGGAAACCCTGTACAAGTGGGTCAGAACTGACTCGATGGCACTTAATAACAACCACAACATTATGAATGTTAGGATAATTGTAATTTCTGGAGTTCAGCCTCCTCAAATTTCACAGTAACATATTAGGTGATGAAGAGGGGCTGGAATTTGTAATTGGGGGATTTCAGGAGATAGAACCATGTGGGAGAGGGGCTTGCAAATTGTAGGTTTGTGAGTAGGAATCTCTGAATCAGAGGGTTTATGGAAGGTGGGACCCAGAGAGAGAAGGATTGTGGGAGCTAAGATTCTGAATCTGGAGTTTGGAAGGGCCCCAAGTAAGGGAGTGTATGAGGACATAAACCCCTACACTAAAGAGTGAGTGAGGTGGGGTCCAGAGACAAAAGAGATGTGAGGGGGTTCTAGACACAGGTACTGAGGGAAAGGGGCTCCAGGAATTATGGAAATGAAGTTCCTTGAAGAGGTTGGTAGATGGGCCTTGAATTATGGGGGCTGAATTACGGAGATGATGAGAGATGATACAGTGAGAGCTAAGTGCAGTCATTTGAGAGCATCATTATTTTGCTTGTTGAGTGCTATCAAATCGGTTCTAACCCATAGAGACCCTGTATAGGGTTTCTAAGGAGCAGCTGGTGAGCTTGAACCACCGACCTTGCAGTTCAACCAGCTCTGTAGTCCGGCGCATCAACCCACAGCGCCACCCCAGGAGTAAATACAACCAAGTCCTTCCTGAAAGCATCTTATGCACCACCCCCACCCCAGCTTGTCCGTATTTCTTAAATGCCTGTTTTGACTACTTTAGGTTGGAATGGTAATCACTGCTTGACTCTGCCTGGAGCCTGGTCCTTGTTCTGAAAAGGAGGGACCATCTGGAGAAACAGGCACCAGGGTAGTTCATCATGCCCTCCTTGGAGATGTTTATTAGGGCATCATGGCCACCTTGTGATTTAGTGTGAATGCTAAATTATAGTCCCCACAGCATGAAGAAGCATTATAAAAAGTGCTTGTAACAAAGAGTCAGTGAACAACATTCAAAGTCAGCCTGTTTGTTGGCTGTGAGGTGTTCCCTGCAGTCAACTTCCTAAAAATAATAAAGGCTTTGCTTTTTCTTTGTTTACCGGGAGTGGTTCTTAATTGGACTCAATCGCTCCAAGGCATCGGAACCAAGCTTTAAGGTAACAGTGCCCTCTGAGAAGATCGTGAGAGATGGGCTTAGCCCTTCTAGTCTGAGATCTCCTTCCTGCCTTTGGCATTCCTAGAGGAGGTGGACCTAGGAGGGTCAGGATCTTAACACAGACAATGGGAAAACTAGGTTATGGTCCTTTTTGTGTGACTTCCAGGAAGTCCCTCCCATCACCGGACATCAGTTTACCATCTGTATATGGCAGTATTTCTTACCCTACACCAGATGAATAAACTAGCTTCTCTGGATTTGCTAGGAGAGGTCCAGGCTCATACAGCCCAGACCAGGCTGGGTCCTGGACCTCAAGAGGGGTTTCCAATACACACGGTCCCTGCCTGCCAAGCTCCTTTCCCTTCCCCAGACTGAACCCCCTCCTTCAGCTATTGCCTTGCCATAGTGGGCACTGCACACACTCATACTCACGTGAGCATCCTGGTCTCCTGGCCAGGTCTGGTCCTTGCTTCACTGATTTGCATCTCTGACCTGTGTTAGCATCTGCCACACGGGAAGTGATATATAGCTACCCTACCAGAATCACTAAAACTCAAGATGGACAATACTAAGTGTTGGCAAGGACGTGGAGCAATTGGAGTGTTCATACATTGCTGGTGGGAATACAGAATGGTAAAAGAATCTTGAAAAAGGTCTGGCAGAGGCTATTAAAGCTAAACATAGCCGACCCTGTTGTTGTAAAATGCTATAGACTTGGTTTCAACTCAGCTGAGGAACAGCTGCTGACTTTGTAGTTAGTAGTCCAGTGCTGATCCTACAGGGCCAAACCAGGAGTCTGTAATCTACCCTGTTGTTGTTGTTATGTGCCGTGGAGTCGGTTCCGATTTATAGCGACCCTGTACAGGATTTCCAAGGCTGTAAATCTTTACAGGAGCAGAAAGCCTCATCTTTCTCCCACAGAATAGCTGGTAGTTTTGAACTGCTGACCCTGAGGTTCTCAGCCCGATTCGTAACCACTACGCTACCAGAGCTCCTTAATCCACCCTAAGAGCCAAGAATTCCACGCCTCGTATGCCACAGAGATGTATATGTGTCATTATTACTAGAATGTTCCTATTCTTAGCAGCACCTATTATAATGCCAAAAAGCTGGAAACAGTTGTAATGCCAAAAATCTAGAAGCAACTCATCACCAGGTAACTGTATAAATCTCCAGTACTGAAATTGTGTTTTTTGTTTTTATTTCGGTTTATGGTTATGCTCTGGGTTACAGTAAGTTTTA